ATTCTGGGCTGCGGCTCAATTGGTGAGGTGCTGGCCCAGCACATGTGAAGCCCCTGGTTTGGTCCCCAGGACCACATGAACTGGGTGCAAGGTGCACACGTATAATCTCAGCACCAGGAGGCGGGAGGAGCTGGAGTTCAGGGTAATACTGAGCTATAGAACAAGGTGGATACTGACCAGAGATGTGAGACTCTGCTCACACTCATGTCCTTATGTGCGAGCCTGTAAAGCACCCCACTGGGAGGACGAGGTGAGAACAGGAACGTGTAGGGGGGGTGAAGGTGGGGGAGTGAGGGGAGATGGGGAGGTGGAGGGGGTGAGCTCAGCTTAGGAGGGAAGGTTCATGCCTCTCAGAAACTTCTCATCTTGCTAATTTAGGTCTCATGTCCATCTAAAATACCCGCTTTATCTATAATGAAAAGGCCTCCCACAGGTGCTTTGTCTCAGTATTTTCCTCACTATTTTTTTTTTTCTTTATGTCACTTGAAGTTAGAAAAATGAGGTCATCTTAGCTTCTGGTTTTGGTTTGTTTGTTTGTTTTGGTGGTTTTTGTTTTTGTTTTTGTTTTGCTTTTGGTTTTGGTGTCTTGTTTTGTTTTAGAAACAAGGTTTTACTATGTAGTCCTGGCTGGCCTGGAACTCACTGTGTGCACCAGAGAGACAGGGGATCCTCCTGCTTCAGCCTCAGGAGTGGGTGGGATGACAGGTTTGCCAGGCCCAGCTGGTTGTTTTAGCTAATCTGTTTACCTTGGCCACTCTCAAACTCTTGGTGGGTTAGGAAGAGTGATGATTTTGTCCCCGGAGGCTAGCTGGCAGTGCTTGAGAGTTTTTTTCTTCTTCTTCTTCTTTTTTTTTTTTTTTTTTTTTGCCTGTTACAATGGGGATTAGGTCCTTTTGGTGTCTGGTGGGAGAGGCTGCAGATACTGCTGAACATCTGCTGCACACAGGCTTCCTCGCCACAACAAAGACTTGCATGACCCACATCACTTGTACTGATATAGAGAAAACAGGATTTAACTGCACCTCATGCCACAATTCTTGTGTCTGTGTGTCTGTGCATGTGAGTGCAGGTACCTGAAGACACCAGAAGAGGGCACTGGATGCCCTAGAGCTGCATTTACAGGCAGTTGTGAACCTCCTGACTGGGAACCAGCTCAGGTTTCCTGCAAGAGTAGTATGAGCTGCATTATTATTATTATTATTATTATTATTATTATTATTATTATTATTATTATTTATACAATGTTCTGCCTGCAGGCCAGAAGAGGGAACCAGATATCATTACAGATGGTTGTGAGCCACCATGTGGGTGCTGGGAATTGAACTCAGGACCTCTGGAAGAACAATCAGTGCTCTTAACCTCTGAGCCATCTCTCCAGGCCCTAGTATGAGCTCTTAACCATGAGCCATCTCTCCAGTTCTGAGTCTTGTCTGTCTGTTTCCTTTATGTGAGTTGCATATGTGAGGAAAGGAACTAACTGACTGTCCTCTACAGGAAAGGAAGAGAGGTCAGTTGTGGGAAATCCTGATTGTCCTGGCAAGACAATGTAAAAACGAATAGACTACTAACCCACAGTGGTGGGAAATCAGTATGGCAACTTGGGGAACAGCTGAGTCATCCCCAGTGAGATGGAATATGCTCCATCCAAGCAGCCCTGGAAGCCAGAGTTTTCTCCCTTCCTTACGGACATTTGCACAGCCCAAGGAGACTCATCTGGGGCGTACAGAGGTCACTGTGTAGAGTTGTGAAAATTGGGGTACAGCCCTGTGACCCAGGAGAAGGAGCAGGGATAAGTACAACAGAACATGATAACAAAATGAAATATATGAAGCCATTGAGACCAATAAGTTCTTACAGTGTGGCTTCCTAGCCTTAGTGAGGGTGGATTTCCAACCTGGCTTACATTAAGCTAAAACATAGGTCATTGTGTTTTACTTATGTGTAGCACATATAATTTCTATTATATAGAGAATGAAATGTTTAAATACTGTTCACAAATAATGTATATCATGCAGTCATCCCCCAGTACCTGTGGGGGACTGGCTCCAGGACCCTGCTGACACCAAATGTGCAGATATTCACATCCCTTATATAAAATATCAGCATTCGCATAGAAGCTAGGTATATCCTGTATAATTTAAACCCTCTCTGAATTACTCATAGCACATAATACAATGTAAATGCTATATAAATGTTCTTACACTAAACCTGGAGAATAGTGACGAGTCTCTGCAGGCTTAGTCAAGTGTGATTTCTCCCTTCAAATCCTTTCCTTCAGTGAGTGGATACAGCCCCCACTTCTACCCCCAGGTGCAGAGGTCTGGCTGTAGTGCTTAATGCTTTTTCTTTCTAGTGTCCAGAATTCAGTGTAGTCTCCTGTTTTTGTTTTTGTTTTGTTATTGTTGTTGTTTAGGTTTTTTTTTTTTAAGTTCTTAAGAGAAAATAAACCCAGAAGGTATTTGAGCTTGCCTCGAACATACACACATGCTTTGTGTCACAGGCTCTCCCCCTCATTTTGGGGCCTTTCATCTCTGCCTACAGTCAGTAAGCTTGGAATATTCAGGTGAGGCCAGCATCAGATCAGAGCCACTTATATCTACTTGTCACCCGGTTCCTAGAAGCCATCCTAGCTTTGCAGATGAAGGTAACTAAGAAGAACGCATCACACATTTCAAGAGAAAGATTCTACATGTTTTCACCATAAAGAAACAACTGACATTTAAGATGATGATATGCTGTTGCTCTGAGTTGATCATTATCCAATTCATACACAACCCCAGACATCATGTACCCCATGACTATAAAATACGACATGTCAGTCAACAAAGTTAATTAATTTACAGGCTCCTGCTTCCTGGAAGCCATGACGTCAGCAGCTCCCGACTAGATCTGTAGACCATGTTGTATTGGGCTCAATTCCTATAATTGTAGACACAGTGAGATAAGTAAGGGCTGACAGTCAAGTTTCCATGGAGCTGAATATGATCGGTTAGTGGATTCTCCTTTCTCTTTAGGAAAGACATATAAAATATTTTTATTTTGTACTTTCACTTTATGTGTGTGGGTGTTTTGCCTGCATGTATGTCTGGGCACCGTGTGTATGCAGTGCATTGGATCCATTGGAACTGGAGTTACAGATGCTTGAGCTGCCATATGGGTGCTGGCTATTGAATCCAGTCCTCTGCAAGAGCAGCTGGCGCGCTTAACTGCTGAGCCACCTCTCTAGTTTTCTCTTCAGGGAAGATTTTTTATTGGCACATATTCACTGTTCTCAGCGATGGGTTTGGTAAGACATTTTACCAAATATATCATGTACTTTAACCATATTCACCACCATTCTCTCCTTTTCCTCCCCTTCTCCTTCTTCTAAACCTCTTCCTTCCCCAGATCATCTTGCTTCTACTTCCATGCAGTGTGTGTGTGTGTGTGTGTGTGTGTGTGTGTGTAATTTTGTGTGTCTACATAAAACTCAAAATCTACAAATGAGAGAAAAATGTGATCTATCTACCTACCTAACCTGCCTATCTATCTATTGAGAAAAGGTCTTACTATGTATTCCTGACTGGCTTGGAACTTGCTATGTAGACCAGGCTGGCCTTAACCTTACAGAGATCCTCCTGCCTCTGTCTCCTAAGTGCTGGGATTAAAGGCATGTACCACTATGCCTTTATTTTCTTTTTAAATATTTACTTTTTGTTTGTTTGAGACAGAGTCTCTTTACATAGCCCTGGCTGTCCTGGAACTCACTATGTAGATGAGGCTGGCCTGGAACTCACAGAGATCCACCTGCCTCTGCCTCCTGAGTGCTAGGTAGGATTAAAGACGTACTACCATACCCGGATATTCCTTTCTTTAAAAAAAAATGTCTTAATGTACATAAGTGGTTTTGACTACATGTATGTATGTGCACCAGATGCATGCCTGGTGCCCACAGAGGCCAGAAAAGGATATCAGATCCCTGTAACTGGGGTTATAAGTGATTGTAAGTCACCATGTAGGTCCTGGGAACTGGACCTGGGTCCTCTGGAAGAGCAGCAAGTGCTCTTAACCACTGAGCCATCTCTTTAACCCAGTGCTAATTCTTTGAATCTGACTTCTTTTGCTTAATATGATGACCTCTGGTTGCATGCATTTCTCTGTGGTTAGAAGAATTTCCTTCATCATCAAGGCTGTATAAAACCATTGTAGAGATTCACACATCAGTGACTAGAGGGGACCTTGGCATCCCTTCAATTTTAGGCTCCTGAGGTTGTCAGTCCCTGAGTGCTTTTTATGTGACCTTGGCTGATGGTGTCGCTCTGTTACCTGATCCCTCTGGAAGAGTTCTCATAACTCCTGGTTAGACACTGATCCTCAGCAGCATGGCTGTCTTGCCAAGCTGACCTGCTTTCTGCTCACCTACCTCCCCTGCTCCTGTAACCTACCCTGATTTCTTTTAATCTGGGCTAATAAGAAGCTTAAAGCAAAATTTAGTTCTAGGCTGGGCAAGGTGGTGCATGCCTATAATCCCAGCACTCAGGAGATGGAGGCAGAAGGGTCAGGAGTTCAAGGCTAGGCTTTACTGCATTCTGTCTAGAAGCTAATCTGGATTACATACGACCCCATTTTACACCCAAACAATTCTCTGTTGTTGTCATTATGACTACTTAGGAATTGTGTGGGGTCACTCGTCTCCTGTCTGTTACAGGGACTACCTGTTTCTTTAATCATGTCCTGGTCTAGTCCACAGCTCCTAATTCTTCTAGAAGTTACCCAGGGCTCCATTATACAGAAGCACCAACGTTGCTTTCTTTCTTTTTCTTTCTTCCTTTTTCTTTCTTTCTTTCTTTCTCTCTCTCTCTCTTTCTTTCTCTCTCTCTTTCTTTCTTTCTTTCTTTTTCTTTCTTTCTTTCTCTCTTTCTTTTTCTTCCTTTCTTTCTTTCTTCCTTTCTTTTTCTTCCTTTCTTCTTTTCTTCCTTCCTTTCTTCCTTCCTTCCTTTCTTTTCTTTTCTTTCTTTATTCTCTTCTCTTTTTTTCTTTTGAGATAGAGTCTTGCTGGTTAGCCAAGTCTTACCTCAAGCTCACAATGTAGCCTAGGCTAGCCTGAAGCTTGTGATTTTCCTCCTCTGCTACCAAATCAAGCATCACAGTTCCCACACCTCCAGCCTTCATTTCATTTTCAGTTTAGGAGTAATATATTGACAAATATGTACACAGGTCTTAAGTGTACAACTGGACAGACATCTATACACACACACACAAACACACACACACACACACACACACACACACACACACACGTCTATACCTCTAGGTATCTACCACCCAAGAATACAAGATCATAACCCAGCTCCTTAGGGTTACCCTCATGGAAGATCCTACTCATTGCCTGGCTCTTTCCTTCTCTGTGTCCAGTATTCCCACTAAAATCAGCACATGTTACTATTCTGATCTTGAACTTGGATGGATTTATACAGCATATGCTCTGTTGTGTTTGACCCTTTTATCTGTGGAAGTCATCCATGCTACCTCATGAACCAAAAGTTCAGTCTTCTTTATTACTGCATAGTGTTTTATCCTGTGAGCATGCCATAATTCATTTTCTCTTTCTGCTCTGGAATGACATCTGAGTTTTCAATTTTTGGGGTGCCTTGATAAAAAGTTTCTATGAAGGTCACATGACTTGTCATCTTTGGGTGGATATATTTATTTCTCTTGGGCTGGTCTACATATATCTTTTTATTTCCCGAATATACTAGTCCTTACTTGGATGTAAGTTGAAACCTTGGCCTTATGTAGCCCTTGTGAGTTCCTAGCATAGACATGGTAATTGGTACAAGGCAACAAATGAGTTCCAAACCATGTTAGGAGAGATAATTTGCAGCAAAGCACAGCAGTAGGTCTTCATGGCAAGCACTCCAGTGTGTCTAAATGTCCCTGCTTGCAAAGGTCATGTTGTAGTCGAGATTCTTCTGTTTCAATGGCCAACAATCAGCAACTTGACCCTAAATTATGTCAAAAAGGGAATGCAATGACCCAGACATGTGGTGTTCACCTGCCTTGAGGTGTGACTGGATCCAGCGGCTGCACACACATCACCAGCACTCTCCTTTCTATGTTTCTCTTGGCCCTGCTCTCTCTCTGTGGGCATCACTTTTAGCAAGCCTTCCCATTGGTGACTAGTGGAAGCTTCAGGCTTAAATTGCCTGGCTATGATTCCAGCAACACAAAGCTCCTAGGATTGACTCTCTAGTTCTGCCTGGGTGATTTGCCCTCTCCTCGGTCACGTGATCTGGAAGAAGACAATCTCCACATCCAGCCCACAGGGGCTTGGTGTAGGGAGGGGTGCTACCCAAGGAGACGCGTTTCCACAGCAGAGAGCAACGGACACCAGGAAGGAAGAAAGGGGAGGAAAGCTGATTCCCCTGGTGCTGAGCAGAATCGAGTCAGCCCGTAAACGTTCCGGGGGCACAGCTGAGGGGAGAGAGTTAATATTTTCTTAAGCTTTGGTTACTCAAAGCCGGACCCATGTCATTTACACAGAGATAAACTTGTGTAAGTTTGCCAAGCTTTAAAAATCTTATACTTCCTTCTTCGAAGGCATCCGCATTTACCTAATCATTCAGGCGTCAAACAGCGGAGGTGTGTTTGTGTTTTGCTTCCCTTACTTCCCCCTACAGGCTTAGCAACAAACCCTGTTGGCTCTTCTTGTGAACTTTCTCCTCTGTGTATTATTTTCTTCTTTACCCCCACTGACACCACACCAGTAGCTCCAAGCTGAGCTCTTACCTCCTTGGAAGAAGAGCATCTTCTCCTCAGCAAGTCCAGCCTAGATCCTTCAGAACTAATGGAATATGTGAGCCCACCCATTACTGAGCCAAAATCCTGTATCCAAAGAAATGGTGGATGTTAATTGGTTAGGCTGGGGTTACATGATCATTGTGCATTGTTGTACAATGCAGAGTTTCTCTATCACCTGCGCTAAGTGGGAGTGGGGAAGATTTCTAGAAGAAATTGAGGCATTGTTGCTAGAGAAGGGACATCTAGAGAAAACTTTGTCACTTGATTAGAGAGTGCTCCCCATCTGAAGAGCTCATAGAACTGATAAAGTCACATTTTCAAACAATAACGGATCCCAACTGGTGTTCTCACCCTAGCCTTCTGTCTCGGTTCCATAGACTAGTCTTCCTTTGCACACACGTGCTGATTTGTGCCTTTAACTCTAGAAACACAAGATCAATCAAAATTTCAAGGTTAGATGCAGTGGCTCACACCTGTAACCCCAGCATTGGGAGGCTGAGGCTAGAGGATTGTGAATTCCAGACCAGCCTGGGCTACACAGGGAGACTTGTTACAAACAAACAAACAAACAAGTAAACAGCTCAAAGATGTTCTGGTTCTGAGGGCTGGGACGAAGCTCGATTGGTAGAGTACTTGTCTAACTTGCACGAAGCCCCCCATGGCTTAAGCCAGGCATCTTAGCACAAGTCTGTAATCCTTGAACTTGAGCTCAAGGTCATCCTCTGCTACATAGTGTGCTCAAGGCCAGCCTGGGCTACATGAGACTCTGGCTTAAAAATTATTTTGTTTTTTCTAGTCTTTGGTTAAGACCCCCCCCAATCATACAGATTAATTATTAAAGATATAACTGTGTTTGTAGGTATCAATATCTTGAGAAAAGACACAGGTTTATTCTCCCCTCCATAGTAGTCTGAGCTCTGTGCTTTGCTCAGGGGAGTTGCCCACAGCTCAACTCCCCATATATTATGCTATTGTTCCTATAGAGAGCACTGTCGTCCTCATGACCCAAGACCACTGTTCAACAGCTCCATGCTGGCACACAGAAAGTAGAAAGCTGAGAAACAGGGGAATGACTTCAGTCCTCTAACAGTATGACCTGGAAGTTATAGATAATGCTTCTGCTGGCCTGCCATTGATCACTTTCAGAGCCTCCTCCTAGGTGTGGGGAGGCTGCAAAATGCAGTCACTGTTCTCAGCACCTAAGCACCTAATTATCAGATATTGGAAGAAACCTAGCAATTTATGCAAGGGAGGAAGAAAAATAACTGACCTTTCCCTTCCTTTTTGGCTTTTTAGGTTAATAAAAAGGTCCCCGAGTTGCTCCAGAGGCGGTGATGCTTTAACACAACTGGTTGAAGACTCTACAGCATCATGTCTTCCTTTCACAGGAACAGCAGCTTTGAGGGACATGCTGACTACTCTGGCTATTCAGGGTTTCAAAACCATACACAGGATCATCTAGAATTTCCAGGTTCTCTGGACAATCCAGGCTTCCACCGTCCCAGGAACAACCCATATTCTTCCGGCTCTAGAACAAATCCAGACTACCCCAGCTCTCTAGTGGAAGCAGATTATCCCGGATCTCTAAGTAACACAGACCATCACAGCACCAGGAATCCTTCATTCTCTGCACATTCCAGAACAAGGCCAGACTATCAGGAGTCTTTTCCTAAGCCAGACTATAATGACTTCCAGAGCAATCCCTACCGCACAGGCTCATCCCCAGAGCCTCACTACCCCGGCTCTCAGCACCATCCTGGTTTTTCAGGAGTCAGAAGCAGCATGAACTACGCAGGTTCCAGAACCAATCTAGGTTATTCGGGATCCTGGGAAGAACCAGACTACCCTGGAGCTCAGGGCAACTCTGACCATCCTGGCCCCAGAGTCAATTCCAACCTGCCAGGCTCCAGAAGAGATGTAGGTTATGCTGGTTCCAGAATCAATTCTTACTGCGACACCTTGGAGGAACCCGATTACCCAGGTGCTGAGAATCAGCCAAACTCTCCCCGCTTTTATGGAGAACCAGACTATCCTGGTGCTGAGAACTCAAAGAATGCTCCAGACTTTTGGGGAGAACCTGATTATCCAGGCTCTGAGGAAGATCATGGTTATGGCTCTTCCAAACTGGGAGTCATCAGGAGGTAAGTTCAAGTCTATGCCCCACATTGGGGTACTCATCAAGGCAGTGGGAGTTGGTCCACTGGTTTCAGTTAGGGACATACATTGATTACCTTTGTGTCTAAAATACCCAATGCAAACAAACAATGCCAACAATTCAAGCCCATGGTGTCTTGGTACTATGCTCTTGGGCAGAACGTTATGTCCACAGGAATATGTGGCAGAGGAGAGCTGTTCCCATCCTGGTGTGTGTGTGGGGGGAGTGAAACTGGGTGGATAGTTGGAGGTGCAGGGACAAAATTCCTCCCCCAAGGACCCACCCCCAGTGAGCCACTTCCTCCAGTCAGATCTCATCTCCCAAAGTTTCCAGAAACCCCCAAACAGTGCCACTAGCTGAGGATCAAGCATTCAGCTCACCAGTCAGTGTGGGATAAAGGATTTCAGCTTTGGGAATTTTTGGTCACTGTTATCTGGTATAACTTTAGAGCTTGACAGCATTATCTGGGTGCCATAGCTGGGCCAAATCTAATTTTCCTGGGCTCACTTTTCCAGAGGTCATGTCAAGAACATACTTCTTTTTTTGATTAGTTTATTGTTGTTAACCTATACATTTTGCCACATGAAATTTTAACTGATACATGTCTTACTTTACATGTACCAATTCAATTATAATATTTATAAATTTGAGTTCTTTAAAAAATGGCTCTCTTAGAAATGGTTTTACATTTCCATAATGTAAGCACTTGGGAGGCTGAGGCAGGAGGATTGTGACTTAAGGCCAGACTGGGTTATATAGTGAGACCCTTTCTCAAAACAAGGAAGGAAGAAAAGAAAAAAGGGGGGGTGGAGGGAATGAGGGAGGGAGGAAGAAAAGAAGGAAGGAGGGAGGGAGGGAAGAGGGAGGGAAGGAAGGAAGGAGGGAGGGAGGGAAGAAGGAGGGAGGGAGGGAAGAGGGAGGGAAGGAAGAAAGGAAGGAAGGAGGGAGGGAAGGGAGGGAGGAAGAAGGAGGGAGGGAAGAAATAAAGGAAGAGAGGGAGAGGAGGGGAGCGGAGGAGCGAGAAGAAGAAAGAAATAACAAGACTCCAGTAGCTTGCATTTATCTCAAGGAACAAGGACACAGGACTTGGTATGCAGCTATCAGATAAATGTCTTTAGGACCTAGGTAGTGGATCTTCAGGACCAGGCCACAGATGTTACCTCTGACCCCCTGAGTCACCGTTCCAAGAGCCACCCTGATCCCAGCAGTCCTCTTTTCATCTTTCACGGATCCTCCTAACCTGGGAGCCAGGCTGTGCCCCTTCACTTATGGACTGAGGAACAGAAAGCTACACAGTGCCAACACAAGAGCAAGGTGCCAGCCTGTGGGAGCCCGTTTTCGGGTTCCTCGTGGCTTTACCCAGCAGGTCCACATAGAGAATGATTAGGACCACGGGCCTGAGTGCAGGTGTCTGAGATGGTCTGCACTTGGCTGTGCTGGGGGAGGAGGTCTTTTGCTCCACCCCTTGGCGTCTCTATAAAAACCTTGGGGCAGACAGTCTGGGCGTTGGAAAAGGTTCCAGGCCCTCTCGAGGCTATCCTTTATTTTCTATCTGTTTATCTCCGCAATAAATCCTTCTATCTAATATTTCCTGCTGCTCACACTCAAGAAAACTCTGGGGAGCTGTGGGGTTGGTGGGTAAACGCCCCACACCAGCCCCAGAGCAGCTGGTCCTGCTACTGTTCCCTCTCTACCTCAGAGCTGTGCTCCAAGTGACTTGACTTTAACTGTTCACTAGAATTACTCTGCTAACTGGAGTCCTTCAAAAATAATATAAGGAGGGTTATAGCGAGGGCTCAGCCATTAAGAGCACTGTAAACAACAACAAAACTGACATAAATTAAAGGAGAGAAGATGTATTTGGCTCATGGTTTCAAAAGTTTCAGCCCATCGTGGAGCAGAGAGTGTGGTGAAGTAGAATGCTTCACGTCTTGGTGGCTAAGAAGCAGAGAGATGAGGAGAGGAAAAGAGAGGGGAGGGGCAGGGGGAGGGAGGGAAGGACGGGGGAGGGAGGGAGAGAATACACATTCAGGTTTGTTTTTCTCGGTTCCTCTTTGATTTCATTTGGGGTCCCCTTATGGGCAGTGCTGCCCTCATTCAGGGAGGGTCTCCTCCCTTAGATAATCCTCTCTGGAAATGACCTTCATAGACACGGAGGTGTGCCTACGCATTTCCTAGGCCTTCTCAATCCAATCAAGGTGATAATAAGACGGACCAGCACAGATAGCCATCCTCTGGGTAGTTCATGGTGTTCAGCAGAACATATTCAATGGGATCCCTATTTCCTGCAGGAGGAATGGCCCCTTGGGCATGCTAAGGAGAGAGAATGAAGACTACCCTGAAGGCATTGAAATGGCATCCATGGCGATGGCAGGTCCACAGGCCCACTCTCCTAGAAATGGCTATGGTAAGTATGTGTTAAGGTGGCATCAGTGTCCCAGGAAGAAAGCAATGGCAATGAATTAAGGCATGCCACAGCTGCGACATTGGCTCCTCCTCCCCTCGCATGCCCTGGCATGCAGGAAGCCAGGTACATCACTGAGAATCAAAGAGGAAGAGGGGAGGGGAGGGGAGGGAGGGGGCGAAGACAGAAAGGAAGGGGGGGAGGAAGAAGAGGAAGAGAGGGGGGAAATGGAAGGCAGCAGAGAAGGACCATCCAAGACAGCACAGGATGCGGGTGCTGTGACGCTCAGGAGGAAGGTTAATAGGCTGGGGTGGGTGCTGGGAATGGTTTTGAAGGCAGCAGAGGGGAAGGGATGGGGTGCATCTCTCTGTGAGTGGATGCTCCTGGACTCATGCTCTGTGTGAAAATACCACAAGTCAAAATGCATCGAATCCACTATGGAACCTCCTCATTCAGCACCATGCTGCGCTGAAGAATGCTATGAGCTGTTTCCCTTGGTGATGTGTGGTCTGTCAGGGAGCTGCA